CCACTTTCAAGGGTTTTTATACTTATTCTTCAAATCAAAAAATTTAATTATAATTTAATAATTAATAATTAATTAATAATGGAAATAATTGATTAGTAAATATCCATATGTTTGGAAGATTGTTGTGAGGCTGATCTGTTCATTGTCAAAATAACCACAAAACTCCCAGCTACAGTAAACCGACTGCATAGATGCCTATAAAGGCATAAAATTAAGGTTTTACAAATTAATTATTTAATTAACTCTTTTCTGTCAGCTTCACTGTTCTCCTGTGTAAAGGTGAACTACTTGTTGAGAAGTGTCTGCTCTTTGATGGAGGTGACCTTGTTGCTCTGGATTGGCTGTGAAGGTAATTCCACCATGCCAAAAGTTCAAATGCTAAGAGGTATCCAGTATGTTTTTGGTAAATTTATGACGCTTTGTTCACAAGTTTTCACAAGTATCTTTGGCTTACTGAGCAGGCAGGTGGCTCTTCCTGTGGAGCAGACGCAGCTCACTGAGCAGGTTAGTCATGAATAAATGTGTGGCTGGAGAGGTGTGCTCCGGGTCACTCCTCAGTGCCCCTCTGAGCTGCTGTCTCCTGCCCCCCTGCCCCTGCCAGTCCTCCACCACCACCATCACCTCGCCCCCATCCATCAGACAGCCTTTCAAGTTGAGAGCTGTCCCTGGTTGGCGGAGGGTGGCGGGGTCAGGCTCCAGCAGCGATCAACCAGCTGTTGCTGCCCAAAGAAGGAGCTGCAGCCTTCAGAGGGTTTTAATCTTGTGTTTTTGGCTCAGGGGCTGCTGGGGATGCTGTGTAGAGTAGAGTTCCTGACTGGAGAGCCACAATCAGGAGAGGGGTTTAAAAGGCTGCAGTGGAGTCCTGGCCAATCTTGATAAGTCACACAGGATTGAGGGTTGCACACCAGCACTTGCTTGCGGGAAATGTATTCCTGAAAACTGTTGCTCTCTGGGCAAACTGATAGTTTATCATTTAACAAAACAACGCAGTATTTGGAGGTACTTTTATCTAACCTTTTTTACTGGTAATGCTAATCTTTCTTTTTTCTTGCAGGCACTGACTAGACTGCTCCATCCGCCCAGAGCTGACCTGGCTATAGGGTGCTATATTGTTCAATAAACTAATGGTGCGGACAGAAAAAACACTGGCCCAGTGTTATTTTTACACTGATTATTCTGTAACGTCTAGAAAATTTACCATTTGCCACTTAAGTTCTCTCTTTAAATGTCCCCACAAGGTGGAGCACTGGATGATCATTCTAATAGACAATTTGTTGGAGGTTTTTAGATCACCACACGATCAACACTAGGGAGAACTGGCCCTGAAAGTTCTTCTCTCTTTCTGCATTTTATTGAATATTGTTAAAATTTATGTTATTGAAAAAAAGAGAAACAGTACATGGTGTGATATAGAAAGAAAAGACAAAATACAAAAATGTTTACATCTATGTGGACTATGCATACATTAGTATATACATAGGACATGCATACACTGGCTTTAATACAAAACTAAAAGTGAGGAAATAGGCATGAACCCTCAAATACCATGCATGTATTTGCTGCATGTACAGTCTTAGTAATCATGGTATATTTTAACATGATAAGCCAGATGAGGTAATAGAATGCGTACATCATTTGTAAAATAAAAAAAATAAAAAAAAAACATGATTTCACATGATTGTTCTTTTTAACAGGATTATTATTCAAAATCTAAACCTGAACACAAGCTATATTTATAGAGCCTCACCTTCTGCTAAACAGCCTGGTCCTGCATTAGAAAAGTACACAGTTAAAACAACCAAAAAAATGAAGTATGCCGGATTGCTAAAATTGTATAAAACAGTTCCTAAAAATATCAGGAAAACACATCTCTGATCAATATTCTCAGGAAATAATCTCAGCCTGCCCAAATAATCATCTAAATCTATCCAAATCACTGGTTTAAAACAAATTTTTTGCGGTTATTGTGTTCACTGTTTGGGTTCATTGTACAGTTTATTATTTGTTCCCTACTGTTATTGTTATGCACTGAATATAATATAATATACATAAATATTTTACTGAGTCAGTTTACTCAGTGATAGAAAAGGGCTCCCTTATTTTGTATCTAATTGTTCTCCAACTGTCTTCATCATTCTGAAACCAGATCACAACAAATGCTGAGATCACTCATTTTAACTCTTGCCACCTAAAAAGATGTTGTCTGATGATATTATTTTTAAGTTACATAAATAACATAGGTCAAGTTGGAATTTGGTGTAAACAGCATTACTAATCTTGAAACCTAATTTTGTTCATGTATGTTGGAAAAGAGATCACAGAATGAAGCTTAAGTTTACAAATCTGCTACATGAATCTATACCACAATACTGTAATAGTAGTGTAATATTTCCCCAGTAATAGAACTTTATTTCTGGGCCAGAAAGACTGTGGGGAAAAGTTCCTTTACTTTACTTTTTTCCTATTTTTCTTTTCAGTCTAAAATCATATTTTTATTTTATTTATTATTATTATTATTATTATTATTATTATTATTATTATTATTCGTAATTGTCATTATATTACTCTACAGCATATCATTATTATTCCAACTGCCTATGGACTTGAGGCTGCTTATATTTTTCAGTGTATTTATTTTTAATATTACTACTCATACATGTACATACATATTGTGTTATTGTGACTTATTATTGTTTTATTGTTGTTTTTATTATTAACATTTTGAATTATTGTGCCTTTTTAATTATGTATTATTATTATGTATTATTATTATTATTATTATTATTATTATTTTCTTACTTATTCATTCGTATATTGGTATGCATGTCACAGAAGTAAGGATGGGGTTGAGAGTGGGGCAGGAGAATGTAAGGGACACAGTTGATTGTAATATCTATGTTCCTGATATTGTCATCCAGTTGTTTACCCTGCCCAAAACAATAAAATGATTATAAAAGTCAAAACAAGATTCAGGGCTTTTGAGAAAACATTCGGGGCTGGAGTCCCAGAATAACCTCAACAAATACAATGGAATAACATTACATTTCTCCATGTATGTTAACAATTCTGATAATTGTGTTTTTCCATACTGTAGTTTTGCATTGGTCTGTCTCTATACATGACATCTGTTTCCTATCTGTTCTGGAAGAGGGATCCCTCCTCTGTTGCTTTTCCTGATGTTTGTTCCATGTTTTCCCTGTTAAAGGGGTAAAGATTTGTTTCCTATTGTGGGTCTAAGGAAAGATGGAGTTGTACAGACTGTAAAGACCCTTGAGACATATTTATGATATATGATAAAAGGGCTGTATAAAGAAAGAAAGACAGACAAATCTTTCTCTGACAGCAGTTTATAATGAGAAACCGTTGTATTCCATGGTAATATTCAGTTTCTTTACTATCAATGGATTTTTATACCAGTTGGCAAAAACCATTACAGTCATCAGATATTTGGGGTATATTCATCTATATAATCAGCCCTCTAATACTATATTAGTTACGGACACTTGACCACAAATAGGACACATACTAAGAGTAATTTTCTGCTGCTATTTTCCTGGAAGGGAGGCAGCTGGTTCTGAAAACCACAGTGCACCATGGGAATTAATGTTGGCCTCAAATACGTAAACAGATTAGTAAACATGGCTCTAACAGGTTGTGTTAAGAACAACATTTTTTTCAAAAAGATATTTCCAAATGTGCTCTGCCAGACTTCTGACGAGACAATCAGTCGGTTCAGATTAGGAGATCATGGTGTTGTGGTTACACCAATAACCATGTGGTTAAGTTGAGGCAACAATCATGGTCATCTTTTTTTAAAAACCAACGTGAACTGTTGGTTGGTAAAGGGAAGGGAACTGTGGTTCAAAAGAAGTTCACACCCCACCAACCCACAATTTCTTCTCAGTCATTACCAATGATAGGGTAAGCAACCACACACACAGTTTGAGAACCACTGTTCTAAGTTATACGGAAAGCAATGATTCTTATTTTCAGGTGATTATACCGTAACACCAAATATGCAAATAAAAACAGGAGAAAAGAAATATTAATATGATAAATTTTACAGAACAATGCAACCTTAGACAAGATAATGGAAGCCAAGATTCTGGCATCAAAACGTGTATTTTTAAATACAGTTACCAACAGCAATGTTTCTGCCCTGCAACCGCCTGAAAGGCCATGTAACTACAGTGAGTACATCAATAACCAACTCAAAATGTGTAATTTATTTTTTTCCTTGTAATATTATTACTTTACTTATTACTCCCTGCAAACAGTAATTAATTACAATAATAGTTATATTACTGTTTTGCTATTCCCCACAAAATTGGCAATTGCGTTTTCTCCCCAAAATTTAGACACACAATGATTAAAATGCAGTTTGTTGTTTGGAGGTGACTTTAATATTATTACTGAAATTTATTAGTAATTAGCTGCAGAAAGTACTATAAAGAATGCTCATATTTGCTTATGGATACACTGCTATTATGTCTAAAAAGTTATGGGAGTGGCTAATAAGTTAATCATCACATGCGCACTGGCTGTCCGCATTTTGTGGACTATACCGCTAAAATAATGTCAAATATGCGTTTAGACCTGATTGGCACAGCCTGAGCGATCGTTTGATGGAGGAGGGAATATGACACCGGAGGCTTTAAACACACACACACACAGGCACACACAGGCACAGACACACATCTGGACGTGTAGCTACAGTAGTCCCACACCTGTCCAGCAGCAGGACGCACAGCACGGCGGCTCTCCGGGCTCATCAGCAGCTCCTTTGACAGGAGGCAGCTCAGTCCCGTAGGATCAGCTCTGCGGTCAGTGCTGTCACTCTCTGACAGTGCCTCCAGCCATGAGGAGCGCCGGGATCAGGACTGCGCCACCATGCCACAGGATATAACCGAGGAAGCGACGCAGAGCCCCACAAAGAATATCCGAGAGTGTGTGGATTATTACAGCAGGACGACAGCTCTGTGCGCTCGACACTCACGTCCATGATCGGCAGGGCGAGCAAACTCGGTAAAGGTAGGACCACGCTGCCAGAGCTCTGACCTGAGATCAGCCTTAACGTTTCTGAATCCCTCAGTGTGAGAAACAATACTTTAAAGGCCGTAGCTTTTGAAGTTGAAAATGTTTGTGTTATATAGAAAGAAAATCAGATATAGAGAATGATAAGACAGAGAGACATTTTACTGATGTTGAGTTGCAGCACATACTGTATGTCCAACTCTGATAATCTCTCTGACCTCCTCACCAGTGACTGCTATAGGCAGGGCAGGCTGATTTTAATACCACATTTCAACAACAAGGCAATTCAAAGTTCTTTAAAAAGTGCCATCAAGACAAAATGTAAAAGCAATATAAAGCAAAATGCGTAAAATAGACAGGAGTTACAAAGAGTTAAATAGAGAATAAAAATGGGATATAGATTGAGAGACAGAAGTTAGTAAAGGATTTAGGCTTGTAACTGGATTCAAATCACCAGCTTATTTCATTCAATAAATATCTTGCAGTTGAAGGTGGAGAGTAGGAAAAAGTTTTATTTTGGATAATATTTGCTTAAAGTACCAAAAGTGCAGAATGGCCCAAAGTGCAAAGTAACTAAAGCTATCTAATAAATGTAGTGGAGTGGAAGTATAAAGTAGCATAAAATGGAAATACTAAACTCAAAATTGTACTTGCGTACAGTACTCGAGTAAATGTACTCAGTTACACTATACACAGTTACACTGATTATTATAAATTTTGACCCTCATGTTTTAATTTTCATTGCAAATGTACATCGGCTCCTAATATCGGTTATTGGTTTCCTTGATTACTAATAATCTGTATCTATATTGGCCCTGAAAAATTAATATCGGTCCATCCCTAGAGGATATAGTGATATCTCTACAGCCACATTGTGCCAGTGAGCTCTGTGAACTGTACTTTTAATTCATAGATGACAGTGGAATCACAACAATTCAATTTTATTATTATTTATTATTATTATTATTTCTATATTTTATATAGCACCAAATCATAACAGAAGTTTACTAAGGACACTTTTCATACAGAGCAGGTCTACACTGTACTGATTATAATGAAAACTGACACAAAATCATGTTCAATTTTAAAATGAAGTCAGTGAAATCACATAAGCCAATCTTCTCCAGAGACCTGATGTACTAACCTCTACATCTCCCACCCTACCATGCAAGAGAGAAAATATTGTTCTTTTTTACCCTTTAATCTCTATAATGGCAGCTTTGTCTTATCGTCACTACATACATTCTTCCATTTTGTAAAATACATTTCTGGTGTTGGGAGAGCAGATTCTAATGAAAAGTTGAGGATCAGTTTGGGACAACACTACAGAGACATTTGTTGGGCGAAGCTTCAGCTCAGCACTCACTTGCTTCCCCATCCAAGTGTCTATTTTAGGTACATCGCTGTAATGTGTTAAGGCAATGTTTTACAGCTCTCTGTGTTGTTCACAGAACCAGGATCTACTTGCCAAGAATATTACATGTGGGAGGAATTTGACTTGAGATGCTTTCTCTTGATACGCTTTTATTTGGACAGTATCATACAGGTTACAAATGGGACACATAGACTGCATGTTGTATCATTTACTTTAACATCAATAATCGTTAAAGCTGCATTCATTTATATTTTAACGTTGATTCTAAAGACTGTTCTCTCATCTCTTTCAGTTCATTGTTTTGGTTTTATAGAAGCGTGGTTCCCAACCTTTTTTCTATAGGAACCCTTTTCTATGTGTAAACTAACGACCCCTGACATATTTTATGGACATTGCAATGTTTAGTAACAGTGAGAACAACTGATCAACTGTACATTAAACCCGAACAGGGAACACAATAACTGCAGGAAGTGTAAAACTAGAGATGTGGATGAATTTTGAGCAGATTTTACCCTGTGAATATTGATCAGAAATGAGTTTTTCTGATATTTTTAGGAACTTTTTTATACAATTCTGTTTGTATTATGTATTTTTTAACAATCATACATACTTAATAGTCTTTTCATTCATTGTTCCTCTAGTTCTTTGGTTCTTTTCTAACGCAGGACGAGGCTGTTTATCAGAGAGTGAAAGCTCTGTGAATATAGACTGTGTTCGGGTCTTCAAAGTTTATCTTACATAATAATCTAAACTTTAGAAATAACAATTTAATTTAGTTTCTCACAGAAATGAACAAAATGCTGAGATATACGCCAATGGTGTATATTTTTTATGTTTTTTTTTTAGTAAAGGTTTTACTAAAATGAGAATTAATACAATATCATAAAAACAAAACATTGCTGTACTCAAATTTATCGATATTTCCATACACCCCTAAAGAAAGGGCCATATATTTTGTTGGTGGAGACCAAATCAGCACTAAAAAGCCAGTGAACTTGTCAGGTGGCCAGAGAGACTAACTATTTGTTGCCATAAATGTGTAATAATGCAGCTCTGCATCTGTGCACAATGAACTCTGCTCGCCACCAAAATACCACACAGACAGGCTAAGAGAAATTCAAGGTTGGGAAAATACCAAACTGTTCACTGCCACAATAATAGAACCCCACAGGTTGCTGTCAGGTTTACTGAACTAGGTGGTCAGACTAACTGCTGAATAAGTCAGTAAAATCTGGATATTTTCCATTTTATATTTGTCGGAAGACTGCTAAATTGTTTTGCAGTGCAACCAGAGAAGGGCGCCGTTGCTCCAAAGCAAAGACATGAGTCAAAGGCCAATGTATGGTAAAGGTATTAGTCAAATGGACATGGTTTATAGAAAATGTGGTCTTAATTTGGAAAAACACCTAAATTAACAATACACCTATTACAACTGTGAGACAGCTGCTGATCATCATACCAAGTTTTCCAGTTAATTAGGGACCGAGCCAGTGACCAACACTGGAAGGTCCCTATTGTTTTT